GCCACAATAATGTCCACTATGGGATAGTGTCGCTGTTTCCCCGTTTCGATACCTTAAGTTGTGCACGGCTGTTTATGTGTATCAAACGTGTAAACAGCGGGCAAAGAGACTAGAATGACTAGATACCTCAACGTAGAGTTCTCTACCATCAACGAAAAAGCAAATAAAACAAACAAAAAAACCCAAAATCAGAAATCGTTGGATTGTAATGATATTGATATGATTGTGGTTAAAAGAGTCATTGAGGGCATTATAAAACCGTTTACACTCATCTGTAATTCATCATTTCAAACTGGTCTATTTCCAGACAGAAATAATAACTGTTATAATAATAATAAAATAGTGGCCACAATAATGTCCACTATACATTTTAAGTTGTGCACGAGTGTTTCTGTATATCAACTTTAACGTGTAAATAACAGTGGGCAGAGAGACTACAATTACAGACCCTGTTTTGATTATAAATTTATCGATTAAAATCGATTCTAGCTTGGATAACGTGATATCGATTCATTAAAATCTTGAATAGATTTTTAAATATAAATTTATTTTGCCCAAAACGCCAGAATCTCAGGTTAAACCTCACAAAATTTCAACAACCACCAAACAGCTAAAACGTAAATGAGAGCAGGTACATGGATTCTGCACAAAGACATAAACACAAAGGCAGACCGCCTACGCATCGGAATCAGTGATTCCTCATCCAAACGCCGTCATGGCTGAAAGCCGACAGCTCACAGATTCTTTTGCTTTGGCGGTCGCGCTTGTGTTTATCTTTTTGTGCTAGATTCTGAGCTGTAGGCTTTGTCTCTCTCCAACCAAATTTGACTGAACCAGCAGCAAAAGAAGATCCAAACTACGCTTCATATCGCTTCACATAACATCGTCATGAATTCCTTCTTTGCTGTTTTGCTTCCACCACGGTAAAATGACCTTCATGCACAGCTCTCTCTTTCTCAGTACACTTCAAGAACAGTTTCCCCATCTAAAAATCTCTGTTTTCTGCATTATTCACTTGCTTATTACGCACAAGTCTACCGTTATGTACAGCGCTGTCGCCGCTGTGTTTTTGTTTTTTTTATATTTAACTGACTTCCCACAAGAAAGTCTCAGTTCTGCTGTTCACGAATACTGAAGAAATATTTAAACTTTATTAAAATTATGCGAAATTGCAAACATGCTTAGCTCGTGTGTCTCTAATAAAACCTCCTGTCAATCGTAATTGCTCTTGCTCTTCAGCTTCACGTCAGTCATAGCAGCAGGATAATAAGTGTCATATGATATTGATTGCATATGCGATGGTTTCTTCAGTTCTTTGTATGCTTACTTTGTTCACTGACAATGATTCTTTAGAAGGTATTATTCTAATGCGTATAAAAAATCCAGTGCCTAGTAAGAAAGCCAGGAATCTCAGCTGAAAATCTACTGTTCTCTTCTGTATTGTTATTCTCTGTATTTTCAGTCTACTCAGTTATCGCTTACACGAACATCGTAGCTTACTTGCAATTTTCTATCCTACCTGAGCACTCCAAGCGTTGTCCAGGAGGAGTTTTGAGGCTACAGTTTAGAAAAGATCACTAACTGTCATGAGTGTTAATATTATTTTATTACTTAGTCTGTTAAAGGAAACCCTGAAACATTAAAATAGTTGAGGACCTTTCCAGTGGTGTCCAGTCTGACTAACATTTCTAAGAATGAAAACGCAATGCCTCCCCTTCATTCAGATGTAGGATGTCTTATTTTTGTGTTCCCTTTATTTTTTGAGCAGTGTATATGGGACTTTCCCATCATGTGCAGTCTAACTTTTAACATTTCCAAGAACGAAAAGGAAATGCCTCCCCGTCGGGGAATCGAACCCCGGTCTCCCGCGTGACAGGCGGGGATACTCACCACTATACTAACGAGGAAGGTGCACAATGTTCTTCATGTTGAGTATCGATCCTGGCCACAATAATGTCCACTATGGGATAGTGTCGCTGTTTCCCCGTTTCGATACCTTAAGTTGTGCACGGCTGTTTATGTGTATCAAACGTGTAAACAGCGGGCAAAGAGACTAGAATGACTAGATACCTCAACGTAGAGTTCTCTACCATCAACGAAAAAGCAAATAAAACAAACAAAAAAACCCAAAATCAGAAATCGTTGGATTGTAATGATATTGATATGATTGTGGTTAAAAGAGTCATTGAGGGCATTATAAAACCGTTTACACTCATCTGTAATTCATCATTTCAAACTGGTCTATTTCAAGACAGAAATAATAATGGTAATAATAATAATAAAATAGTGGCCACAATAATGTCCACTATACGTTTTAAGTTGTGCACGCGTGTTTCTGTGTATCGAATTTAACGTGTAAATAACAGCGGGCAAAGAGACTACAATGAGTAGACGCCTCAACGTAAAAACAAACCCTCCAAAACAAACATAATTGGCATATAATAGATAAACTCTCAACAGCGCCAGAATATTAAAGTTTAGAGTTTAGAAAAGATCAGTAACTGTCAGGAGTGTTAATATTGTTTTACTCCTTAGCGTCTTAAAGGAACCCCTGAAACATCAAAATAGTTGACGACCTATGGTGTGCAGTGTAATTTTTACTATTTCTAAGAGTGAAAAGGCAATATCTCCCCGTCGGGGAATCGAACCCCGGTCTCCCGCGTGACAGGCGGGGATACTCACCACTATACTAACGAGGAAGGTGCTCAGCGACTTTCATGTTGCAGTACCGATCCTGGCCACAATAATGTCCACTATGGGATAGTGTCGCTGTTTCCCCGTTTCGATACCTTAAGTTGTGCACGGCTGTTTATGTGTATCAAACGTGTAAACAGCGGGCAAAGAGACTAGAATGACTAGATACCTCAACGTAGAGTTCTCTACCATCAACGAAAAAGCAAATAAAACAAACAAAAAAACCCAAAATCAGAAATCGTTGGATTGTAATGATATTGATATGATTGTGGTTAAAAGAGTCATTGAGGGCATTATAAAACCGTTTACACTCATCTGTAATTCATCATTTCAAACTGGTCTATTTCAAGACAGAAATAATAATGGTAATAATAATAATAAAATAGTGGCCACAATAATGTCCACTATACGTTTTAAGTTGTGCACGCGTGTTTCTGTGTATCGAATTTAACGTGTAAATAACAGCGGGCAAAGAGACTACAATGAGTAGACGCCTCAACGTAAAAACAAACCCTCCAAAACAAACATAATTGACATATAATAGATAAACTCTCAACAGCGCCAGAATATTAAAGTTTAGAGTTTAGAAAAGATCAGTAACTGTCAGGAGTGTTAATATTGTTTTACTCCTTAGCGTCTTAAAGGAACCCCTGAAACATCAAAATAGTTGACGACCTATGGTGTGCAGTGTAAATTTTACAATTTCCAAGAGTGAAAAGGAAATGTGATTTGTGTGATTTTGTTGTCAGTGCATTCAACTATATAAAGAACATAGTATTTAATAAGAATATTTCATTACTTCAGATCTAGGATGTCTTATAATAATAATAATAATACATTTTATTTGAGGGTGCCTTTCTGTATATGGGGCGTTCCCATCATGTGCAGTCTAACTTTTAACATTTCCAAGAACGAAAATGTAATGCCTCCCCGTCGGGGAATCGAACCCCGGTCTCCCGCGTGACAGGCGGGGATACTCACCACTATACTAACGAGGACTGCGACTAATGTGCGTGACGCTGTTCTTTTTCTCACTGCATCACGTATACTTTAGGACATATTCGCTTGAGTTGTTTACTTAACACTAGATTTACTAAACGGCCCTCAACTGTTTCATATTCATTCTCTATGGGAGTCCTAAACCACTACGGATGCAATATATTTTTGTCCACTATGGTCTTGTGGCGCTGTTATATAAATGTATAGTGATGACTCTCCCCGTTTGTCACGCGGGACATTGGGGTTCGAATCCCCGACGAGGACGCATCACTCCTTGACCTTCAGGAAATGCCTTTAGCTACATGTGAAAGGAGTTTTTGTGATATGTGCCTTGCTGGTAGTAACAGTGTGTTGAGGAGTCATTTCACCCCTTGTCCCATACCATTCAAGATTAGCCGAAGTTAATACCATCATCAACACTATGAGAACCTCTTTCTCCCTCACTCCCATGGACTTCATCCATATCTCATAATCTCAATTCCTTTTCCCCCCATGAAAGCTAGTTTGCTGAGTGAGCAGTAAAAGCACTCCCAGCAGAAAAAAAAAACAAGCCATGTCTTTGTTTTACTGTAAAAAAAAAAGAAAGAAAAAAAGTCCTGAATGGTTGCTTAAAGGTCATTACAAATCCTGTGTGGTTCATGTGGTTTTTCCATTTCAGTTCCTTTTCTCTCATTTGTTTGACAGACTTGGACTCTAGTTGCGCTCCAAGTTTAATTTGACATCGTGTTTACACAAAGACACCTTGGTCTTCTATGAATCAGAAATACTCCACTTATTACAGAAAAAACGTTCATAAAATGAAAATAGTACATATAACACGTAAGTGTATATAGTCATGTCATGTTAAGATTTGTATTTGTTTCCAGTTTCCCACATTTTTTTTGTCCACCCAACCCTAATTATTTCCACCTTACTAAGTACACCTTTAGTGCTTCCATAGCAATTAAGAGAGCAAATGAGAGGTTCAAGTTAAAAATTTAACTCTTTAGGGCTTTCATTTGTACTTTGTGATTGTTTCATAACTATTTAAATATATTTTCCGAGTTTAACCTTAGATTTCGTATTTCATATTGCTCCTTTTTAAAGCAGCAAAAAATGTTCATAAAAGCCCCATTCTTGCACATAAGTATGATTGGTTTGTATATAATTACGGCTAAGGTCTCCTTCCTTTACATAACAGAATTTAAAGCGATATTCTGTTGTTTATGCCCGTTCAAGGAAAATAAATAATTTGCCTAATAATTCTATAATAATAAATAATTCTGCATGCTGAATTCGCTTTTATTTTGAAAAGCCGTGACACGGCGGAAGTAAACAGTAATCACGTTACAACCCGGAAGAAATGCCTTTTCTCTGGTTAACATTTGAATAGATGAGAATGACCAATTTAGCTTTTGGAGAAACGGTTAAACGCGATGCTGCTCCTGTTGTGCAGCCTCTCATAGTCGTTTTTGTGTCCTAATCTCTTGGCCTGGAGGTGGAGGCGGTCGACTACGAGCAGCAACGCCCCGATGAGAGCAGGCAGCCCGTCAGAAGGAGAAAAATATCCTCGGTGTGTTTACCAGGCGGTTCAGGGAGGCTGTTTCCCCGCAGTGTGTCGTTAGCTCACCGTGCGGCTGTGCGACTGGTTCTTCAGACGGAGAGGAAACATGGCTGAGCTGCATGTTGTGGAACCTACCGGTGCTGGCACCATAGAGCAGCCCGAGCACCGCGACATCCGGGGCTCGGTGCGCCTGGCGTCGCCCACCCTCATTGTTCCGCCGCGGAGCAGCCAACTCAGCCCGGGTGGGGTGTCAGGCTGCAGCGGCGGCGGCGGCGGAAGGTCTGTGTTTGGGTTCCCGGTGAAGAGCAATCCCAGCTCCCCGTCCGAGCCAGTGGACAAGCCGGGCTCCCGCTGGGTCCGGCTTAACGTCGGTGGTACCTACTTCATTACCACCAAACAGACGCTGTGCAGGGACCCCAAATCTTTCCTGTTCCGCCTGTGTCAGGAAGACCCGGACCTGGACTCTGACAAGGTGAGTGGGACGCCAGAAAAACACAAATACATACAACACAGGTTCACACAGCAAAGGGACGCAAAGAACACAAAAACCATGAACACTAAACTGTAAAAGCACAAATTAAAAAGTGAAAAATCAATTTCCACAGTAGTATCCATCTGCCCTGTACAAAATGTTTATAGACTACTGCAGGTAAAAGCACAAGGACGATACGCTTCAGTTTTAAAAATTTGAATTTTCTAAATTAGTCCCACATTTGCGAGAAAAAATTACACGAAAAATGGCAAATTTTACATTAGCGAACTTCAACGTTAAAGACAAAAAATATGGAAATTTAATAGAAATAAACAAAACAAAACATGGAACTTGCTCCTCTGTTAACATGAAACTTGCTCCTTGGAACCTGTTAATTCTTGCAGGACGAGACAGGAGCATATCTAATCGACAGAGACCCCACGTACTTTGGCCCTATCCTGAATTACCTTCGGCATGGAAAACTGATTATGGATAAGAATCTGGCAGAAGAAGGTAAAAAACAAAAGCATAATGCAGAGCTGTCAGTGAGCAGCATCTCAGACACCAAATAACACATTCATTCGATTTGTGTTTCAGGCGTTCTGGAGGAAGCCGAGTTCTACAACATTGCTTCCCTGGTGAGGCTGGTGAAAGAGAGGATACGGGACAACGAGAACCGGACATCTCAGGTAAACAAAACTAAACCAAAATAAGTCTTAGTGGCTGACTTTCTTCCAGTGCAAATATAACCCAGCTAGCTTGTAAAGTGTTCAAACAAAATGTGTGCCTGCCTGCAGATTGTTGATGCTTTTTCAGTAATGCTCTGCGTGCCTTTGCTGTGTCCCTCAGGGCCCTGTGAAGCATGTGTATCGAGTACTACAGTGCCAAGAGGAGGAACTCACGCAGATGGTCTCAACTATGTCGGACGGTTGGAAGTTTGAGCAGGTGCAGAAAACGCAGCTTTTAAAATATATGTCATCTTTTAGTTCACGCTTTAGTTGATTCAACGCCGCAGTTTTAAGCTCCGCTTGCCCTGAGATGTATGCCAGCACATTGTCAGGTATTTATTTCCACACAGGAAAGACTGGGGTACAAAATGTTTTAATCATGAGCAGGAATGGATACTAAAAGTACTTCATTTGGTCTTGACCTGAATCTGTATGCAGTCGGACTCTGTCACCTTGTAGTTTCCTCTATATTAGTAATCATGTATTATCAATATGAACCTGTATCAATTTTTTTGATCTTCAAAAGATAAAAAAAATCAAAAAGAAAAAGATCTTTGAACCTTATAATGAAGGTAAGTATGAATTAAACCCCTGACATTAGTAATAGCTGTAAATAATTCTAGTCATTGCCACATGTGACTACTCCGCAAAGGTCTGATTATGACTATTTGGTACTTTTAACTTTAATAGAAAATACCACATTTGTTGCATTTATTAAATTTAAAGAGCTAAAATAACACAACTCATTTGCCTTTTTTAAATTACCAACAAACATGACAGAACTAGTAGCACTTTTAGGCCTACTGTGAAGCAGTTGCTATAAAGCTCTGCAGGAAACTTTGAGCTCTATCCATGTTTGTGAAAAATAACCTGAAGGCCTCAGTCACACTCGTCTAGAGACCGATTGGCAAACCCTTGGCATCCTCCAGTTGCTAGGGGCAAATGTTTAATCTTCAACCACCCTCAAGCACCGGCATGTCACAGTTGGTGCTCAACAAAGCCAATGTGGTCACCATAAACAAAGCATAAGCCAGCGGCTTTGGCTGTAAAGGCACACCTGCTTGTCCACAGACTGCTGATTTATTTTGTTTTTGAGTTTCCCCAGTGATTTTAACGTCTTTGGAAACCGTAGCCAGGGTAAGTTAAATAAATAAAAAGTTAAAATTCCAAAATGATATCCATCAAGTCTTTTGTCAAAGCGAGAGTGAGTCACAGGAGTTGAGTTGCAGGGTGGCCATCCTTGCTGTAGGGCAAAGAAAGAGGTCATGAACAGACTAGGGCTGCCACGATTTGTCGACTAGTCACGATTACGTCGACTATCAAAATCGTCGACGACTGATTTAATAGTCGACGTGTAGTTTGAAGCTTTGTAAGATCGAAAAAGACGCAGGAATAATAGCAGGATTTAAGAGTGTAATAACGGACTGAAACAGAAGATGGCAGCACAGCATGTACAAGGATGCCAGCTGCCGTTAAACACCGAAGAAGAAGAAGAAGAAGCAGCTGTGTCCCAGAATTCATAGCGCAGCCCAGCTTAGTTTCCAACAATGGCGGTAGCTAGTTAGTTTTAATATTACTCTTATTATTCTTTCTGGGTCACAAAATAAACGTTTAACATATTTTCAGGCGAGAATGTAGCTGTGTAAACCTCAAATATCGGCTCAGTTTATCAGGACACCACATATTTTCAAAAGTGCTCAGACGTTTTCGGAGACGTCTGTTACCCACTAGCTCGATAGCTAGCCGGGGGCTAGGTCACTAGCGCCGTGAGAACACCGGACTCCCGCAAATTGTTTTCAAACCCACCGCCGTCTTTCGCGACTCAGGTTAAATATATATGAGTCACTTAGATAAATTAAAAATGTTGTTGTTTGGCTTTTTTTTTTTTTAGTATTTTATTTGTTCCTGAGTAAATCGGTTTGGCTGAGATTAAAGTTATAGTTTTTACACAGCTGAATAAACGTCAAGCAGACAGCTGATTATCAGAAGTGTGAGATGCTGGAGAATATACTCCGGTGTCCTGTTATATTTTAGATAGCAAGGAGTTTATTAAACTTTACCGAAACAATCTGCAAATTCCATTAAAATTGAATAAACTATCATCTTGTCTTTATTTTTAGTTAGCACCTTAAAAGCTTAAAGCTGTAAGCTAATGATAGTTATATAAGAGCAGATGCTGCTGGTGCAGTGGATGATGATCTGATTAGTCGACTAATCGCATAAATAATCGGTGACTAGTCGACTATCAAAATAATCGTTTGTGGCAGCCCTAGAACAGACTACAGAAATGCAGTGATATATGTGCTGAAATATCGCCGTAAGTCTATATTGGCAAATAAAATGTCATTTATTAATTGTATCTAATCCCTTTTTTCAGGCTGAGTATTCAAAATAGGAAAACTTAAAATCATTCAGTTGTTTTTTTGTTTTGTTTTTTTATATAATGAATATTTCTTTGTTTGATTAGGGGTTGGGTTTTTTTTTTTATGTTGTTGTTGTTTTTCAGACATTTTCAACAGTTTCTCTAAAACGACAACAACCAAAAGTAAAACGACAACAACCAAAAGTAAAACGACAACAACCAAAAGTAAATAGCATGGTAGAACTAAATTAAATGGGAAAAAACACAAGTTATTGACTGAAAAGGTGCAGAGTGTGAAACGTCTTGGAAAAGTAGGCTCTCTTTTAACTCCGGATCTTTTGTTTCTTTTCCCATCTCCACCCTCAGCTTATAAGCATCGGCTCCTCATATAACTATGGCAATGAGGACCAGGCTGAATTTCTGTGTGTAGTTTCCCGGGAACTCAACAACTCCACTAATGGCATCGTCATTGAGCCCACCGAGAAGGCCAAGGTAAGTCGACATTTCATACCGTTGTTCAGGCTGTCTGAACATCTAACTGCAGCGAAGGACCGTGTTTGTGTATTAAAAGCCAGTTTATAAGCCACAGAAGCTACAGGATCCATGTGTAGGAACCAAAGCTGCACTTGAATCGTCCAAAACACTAAATCCTACTTCCTTTTGCCCATAAGTCTCCCTTGACTCGATAGAAAATGTCACAAGGTCACTAAAAGATCTGAAGAGGTTTTAATGAGCTCAGAGAGAAGCTAACTGCTCTGACGCTAGACTCCTTAATAATGTGGCCAGATGTTGTTGATGTGAGTCTGCTGTGTTAAAACCACAGTGCCCCAAAGATGGGCAAAAAATGAGCGCATCGTGGATACGTCACCCCATGAAATGTTTCATATAAAAGAGGATCACTGGTGGAAAATTATTACTTCATTATCTAGTTTGTAATCTTAAAGAACAGGGAGTGAAACAGCTTATTAAGTGGAATTAAATGCATCCCACAATAAGTTTGTGTTTTTAAATGGATGTTAACGACCGGCAGTGCAGTAAAGCTGTATGCAAGACACTTAATGCGAGATACAGCCTACACAGGTGTCTGGATGTGCTGTTGATTCTTTTCTCTCCGGCATGCTGCCAGCATCCAGCATGCCAACAACCTGGGCTCGGTCAACATCAGTCAGTCTCAGCACGGTGACCTGATGGTTTAGGGTCCATACTTGAATTTCAAATTTAATTCCGATACCCTGGAAAATGATCCATAATCGATGCTATTTTCAATACCAGGGCAAGATTCTTAGCCCATCCTGTGGTAACAGAACTAAGAACTAACAGAAATAATTTTTTTAAAAGCCGGCTACAGCAAAATAATAAGAAACATATTTTTATAATTATTATCTTGTTTACATACAACGTCCACACTGCTCCACCTTGGTCTGTAGCGCTTTACATCCACAGTTTTCACTTCAGGCCTGAAACCATCCTTGACTAAAACCCAGAGACAAAAGCTACTCACAGTGTTGTCTAAGAGATTAAAGTTATGTGCTGGGAACTTAATTTAAAACATCCATTCTCGACATGTTTCATGACATAAAACTTGAATAGTTTATTTTCACTTCCTGCTGAAGAGATGCGCCAACTTCTGCCTTTATTTTAGGTTCAGTGTGTAAAATCTCATATTTTTCAGTTTGGTCAACTGAATTGTGTAATCCTCCCCCTCTCAATTCAAGTGCTTAACCCGAACTACAGTAGATACAACATGGGTAATAAAGGTAGCACTGAAGCACTTTCCTTAGTGTTTGTAGAATTTAATTATACTTCCATTTTACTTGACTCAGTGAGGAACCTTCCTAATGAAAATATTTGACTGTTGGACCATAAACCAGTCCATGCTGGATAAGACTGGGTAGAGTGGACCTTACCACCTCATGTGGCTTCTGTTCATTTGGGTGTTTTTCACAAGCAGCCTCTCTGAAAGTCAAAATGCATCTGTATGAAAAATGCATTTTCTGAAGTTTGAGACCTTCACTTGGTGGAAAGTTCATGTTATACTTTTACCGTAGCTCAGTTTATTGTGCTGTATTAAATACTTAATGTGGAAGCTTACGCTACAACAAATACAGGAGCTAAATATAACCGTATGGATGAGCTCAGCTAGAAATAGTCTGTGTGCTGGCAGCCAGGATGCCACAAAAGTCAAGAACCTTCTGAACTTTACTGACCCGCTGCTGTTGTGTTCAAATCATTTGGTATCGCTTATCTTCGTAGTTCTTACCTGCTTAACAGTGAGTTAACAAGATCTGCAAGATTATTTTCATGTATGCGATCATATCCATGAAATCAGTGCAAAGACTCGGATTTCATTCATTCCTCTTGTGTCTTTTTTATGGAACTGAGTTGGTTTACCAGATGTTATTTATCAATGAAAGCATGTTTTCTCAACTATAAAGCATTATCGACCAAGTATTCATTATAAACTTTTTTTTATAACATGCACTCTTGCAAATGACCAGCAGGGGGCCACTCCTGTAGTCTACGTTGTATACAAGTCTTTCGGGAAAGATTTCTACTTCTCACTTGATCCACTAACTTTCCAAGTAATCTAATGCTGTTAATCATTAGTTTCATATTTTATTAAATCCAACATGCTGCTTGTTTTGAAAATTAGTTCCTGTTTTAGAGAAAAATAGGTGCTAAAGCAGGGTATAATTCAGATTTACAAATCTGTATCAGGATACTGGCGTGCTGCATCCTCAGTTTCACATCCATAATTATGGTGTCCAGGTTTTTCCCTCAGCGAATAACAATTTAAATAATTTCCTATGCTCTGGCTGAAAAAGGGAAGCTAATGCTAAAAGGAAACTCAGATTGCTTTGACTAATTGTTTGTTTTGGACAGATTTTAGCTGGATGAAAACCCCAAGCAGTGATTCTGCATCTGCATTCATTATGAAAAAGTATGCAAGGAATGAAATTTTGTTACAACTGGCTCAACAGAGGATTAAATTATTTTAAAAATATGTTAAATATATCAGTAAAAATACTATAGTGCACTGGATAAAGCAATGGCATAGAGAGTGGAAAGTTGTAAAAAGTGGAGTACAGCACACTGACTGCTGAAATATTTACTGGATTACAACATTTCAGTCTGTCTGACCTTCTCTTTGTTCTCCTAAATGTCTCAGCAAATGTGACACATAGTTTCTGAAGGGAAAAAGCAAAGATTTGAGAATGCTGTCTGTGCAGGAACCTGAACACCACTGCTTTTTATATCAGTTTAATCAGTGTACTAAATTACTTTTATCCTGTGACTTCATCTGGAAAAACGGTTTGCTAACACTGCCTTTTTATTGCAAAAAACCCTCAAAATTCAAAGTGTTGTTTTTTTCCTTGCTTTTTCTTAAACGTCTTGTTTAAATGTTTGAAAGTGATCTTTTTCCTGTCTGCCTTTCGCAGATCCTTCAGGAGCGAGGCTCGCGGATGTGAAGAGATCCTGAGCTTAACAACAGTTTATCAGCAACAACCACGTTGTTGTCGAACATTTTCTTCACTTTTCATAAACCCCCTTCCACCTTTTACTATCATCATCATGATCATCCGCCCCTTCCCTTCTCCTCTGGTGTGCCTTTCCACAGCGGGCGCTGTTGGCGTCCCCCACAATCCTTCAGTGCTACAACGTGACCCAGGCTTGTCGTCTCGTCTCTCCTTCTTCACTTTGGAAGAGAGACGACAGGTTCAGGGCTTTTCCTCGTTGCAGCTTTTTGTTGGACAGTGTGACAGGAGCGCAGGCTACGACGCTGATATTAGCCTCTTGTTGTTCTCAGTTGGACGGACAGAGCTACCAGAAATCATCGTCTCCATCTCCACCTCGATTCTGGATCTCCATCATCGTTATCAGACGGGATATTTCCTCTTGTCTTACACATCTGGCTCTGTTGATTTAGCAGAAACCTCCTCAGGACTCTCAAAGGACATAAAGGAATGAAAACACTCCACTTACTGACCGAGAGAGCATCGACTCCTCTGCAGGTGGAGCCCGAGACGGAGCAGTCGCAGGCGGATGATGCACGGACCGATCACTCATTATGAGCTAACCTGGAGCGGCATCTTTTCCGCGAACCAAGAAGTCTCCAGTGGCTCCTTTTGATCTGTAAGAAAAGAACATACATGACTAAAAAACGGACTTACCTACACTAGTGTACAATTTGTCAAGGCATGTGAGGAATCTATATAAATCTATATAGGCTACATGATGAAATTATATGAAAAATTGAATGCAAATGGTGTAATTATTGATTTCTGTATCATAGTTGTGATATATTTACATATTCTGGTGGTTGAGTCTATTTAAACAATGGAGAAAATATCAGTTTTCCCACCCGTTAACACGGGTGTGAATTTGTGTATGCAGTGCCTCTCTGCTTTCTGTTCATCCTGAAATATCACCAGTTTTTCAGCTGCACGTTTTCTGTAGTGTTCCTCAAAGAAAAAAAGAAGATAACACCGGTAAGTTTTCTCTTAAATATCCAACTTTAAACTATTGCATATCTTAAAATTGTAATTAGGGATAAGGAAAACTACTGTCATTGTCATTTGTCCAAGTAAAGCGTGGCGGAGGTTGGACTGTGGCCAGACTGTATGCTGCCTCAAAACCCTGAAGCACCCCTCTCCTCTCGGGCCTCGTGCTATTCTCTTTGCCAATATTCGCTCACTTTGCAGCTGCCTCTTGTTGCCACACCAAAATGACTGTGTTGTCTTACACTCTGCAGCACTTGTAGCAACCGTGGCGCAAGCTAAACTGTACCGCTCACCGCTTAAAGCCCTGAGATACCTGAGTTTTATACGCTGTGTAAACAACGCTGCCAGCCGGGAAGTGAGTTCAGTTTTCATGAGCTCGAGAGCGAAGCCTTAGTAGTTTGGCTAAAGTGTGTTGTTCTTGTGCTTAACATTATGTTGATATGTTATTGTGCTGTTTTTGACGCTTTCAAAAACACTGCAACAACATAGAAATCTTCTGTACACAGGCCAGGATGTGAGCTTGATTTATACTTCCACACTGTAACAGCTGCTTGGTGGTGAATAATGGAGTATATTACTTTTGCGAACGTAATGCATATAATGGGGTTATGGGGGTTACAGGGCTAATCTAGGAGCAAGTAGCCTGCCTGAATAATTCAGTGTCAGTTGCCTGCTTTTGCTTTTTTTTTTTAGTAAACTATTAGTGGCATAGAAAGAACTGTGTATGCTAACAACAGCTTAGCAAAATTGTAATGCAGAAGTATAAGTCAAGCCTTAATCTGTGCACATGTGCAAGTGAAGTGGCTCGTACTAAAGCGAAAACGGTGATTTGTCAGTTGACAGAAAATAAACGGGGATCTGTTTTGGCCATTTTAGCTCTAGAGTTTTATTCTTGAGCTTTGCATCAGTCACATTTCAGACTAATCCTTATTTGTCCTACATTTGGGCCTTGGTTCAGCCGCTTAGCTCATCCTTGAACTGAAACAAGCTCCTTTAGCTCCCGGATTCTGGACTCTAGTCTGATTGGCTGCCCCTCGTAAAGACAAACTGAACTTTTGGCTCCCTGGGATTACTTGTACATAAGCTCACCTCATTTCATGAAACTTTAACTCAGCTTGATGATAGAACCCACTACTGTAGCACAGTAGGTCCCCTTTAATCTGCCACAATTGGATATCAAGTCACTTATCAAGCAGAAAGGACAACTGATCTTTCAGTTTTCTGCTTTTTCTTTTTCATATTTATGTAAATTAAATATAGTTTGGTTTGGAACTGGATCGGTGCTTCCCTAATTTGTAGTTTATCACATAATGAAAATTTTAAAACATTTCTGGAGTCCAGATGGCTCAAAATGGGTTCATGGGCCTTATCAAAATTGGGTAATTAGTCACATTTATTTTAAAAAGAAAAATCCAATAAAATAGCAAAATACCTTTTTGTACTTCTTAGTCACACATCTCACTTCTTACATTTTAGCTTCAGATGGCCCACCTCTCACCTTTGAGCCTATTTTCAATCCTTTTTACTCAAATAATCAGTAACTGTTCAGCCAGTATTCATTCATTTGCTTATGAGCAAGAAAATCAATTTTACTAACAGGTGATGAAGAAATGCACCTAATTCTCACACTGAAAAGCGATATTCTATTTCTGCTCCATCAGTGACTCACATTTGTTAATTAATTATTATATTTTATTTATTCTGTCAGTGACTAATCATTTCACCATCTGGGGTAAATGCAGCTCGTTCATGTGAGCAACTTGATGCAAAGTTTGAGCCATATTTGCACATATCAGAAGGAAAACTGAGAATCATGTTGTTCACATTTTAATCAAAGCTGAGGAACGCTCTGTCATTATCGCAGACACCTATTACTGGCATTGACCCCTTTGGTAATCCATCCTTTGTATAAAGAATTTATTTGATGCAATCATGTTGTACCAAGCATGGGGAAAAATAATGCATTGTATTGGGGAAAAATGGTACCTTACCTGCTGTTGTTACGCTCCCTGATCAAACTTTGATGTGACTTCCTCTTTGTTGTTGAGAGATATATATATATATATATATATATATATATATATATATATATATATATCTTCACCTATTGAGTGTGTTGTGCTGTTTTCTTCAACAGACCACAGTCATGAGCAGACTTGCTAAAAATACTGCTAAAAATGCCCAAACATGTCATTCAGAAGCACTTTTGTTTCCTCCCTTGTGGTTTTCTTGGCCCATTCGAAGCACCTTGGGTGTTGATTCCCTTCGTTTTTGTCCAGTGTTGTGCCTTTGACCTGTGTTGTGCACAGTTGTACTCCCCTCTTATCATAATGTGCCTCTCATACCTTAAAAAAGCCAGGAGGCACGTATCTGAGGTATCATGTATACTGTGGTCTTTTTATCCTGGTTTTTATTGTTGGTGTTTCCGTAAGAGGCGAACCAAACGGAAACACTACCCTTGGCGTTATTTTATTATATGTAAATTTTACAAATTGCTGCTTTCTTTGTGCCATTGCGTTCCAGCTCAATCCAACCACAATCTCTCACACTCCTGGAGGTTTTACATTTCTGTTGTGGTGATTTGTTGGCATTGTTGGTGGAGTGGACGACAGGAAGTCCAGTCCAAGCTGGTTTCCCTTTTTTTTTTTTTTTTTTTGCTCGTATCTTAGTAAAACTCCAAAAATGCACTTGGCAATTAATTTGATGTCAAACTTATTGTATTGTGGCAGCTTCTTTTCTCCTTGACCTGCATGCTGACGCTACCTACAATGGCCCCACTTTGAAGTGTGTGTAACCAATATTTAAAGCACTTAACGTACCCTTGTGAACCCCGGTTTGGTCTCACCATGGTTGCAGTTTGGTGGTTCCCAACTTGATTTTTTTTTTTTAACTTTCTTTCAATGTTGCTTTTAGCCCAAGAGCTTAGGAGTATCAGTCAGTTTATAGACTGGAAATGTTGGTATTTAAAATGACAAAAGAGGTGATTACTTGGCAAACGTTCAAGTACAGAAGCCTGAAAAAAAAGCATCATCGCAGATATTTTGCTAGTGTCGTTAGCTTCCCATTAATACAACAAAATTTTATCTTTTAATTCATTAAATGTTTAATTCAGCTAAGTTAAAATATAAAAATATTGTAAATAGAACTAAATATATCACAGACTGGTAGGGTGGGAGTTTGGGCTAGCTACTGCTATAAAGGAAAAAGATACACGGGATTTATGAAACAAGAAGAAACATTTTTAATGATAAAACTGTCAATTTAAAGTTTGTTTAGTAGATATTAGCATTTTAAAGCCAAAATTGGAATTCTAATTATTCAGTGTAATGGGTTTAACACATTTTTATTTAAAAAACACACAATCAGAAGATTCTTTTGGAAATATCAATTTTATTGTTAACTGCCACCTCTGTGTTAAGCTAATTAGCTTTTAAGTTCTTGTTAGCATCGAGCTAGCCACACTATCTTCATGTAGTAACTAGCAAAGCTTTAGATTAATTTTTTCCCCCTGAATTTAAATATAATTTAGCTGAAAATAAACAAAACCACCCGATCATCATGAAACAGAATGTTATACAATAATTTATTTTTTAAATTGTCCTGCTCTACAATAATAATGTCAGCGTTTTGTTTAGCCACTGTGAGAGTGTTAGCGTGTTGATGTTAACTCTTTGTTTTATTTCTTGAGGAATTAAATAAACTGTTCAGACAAGCTAAAATGTTTTTAAAAAGTAGAAATATGCAACCAAAAAAGTTGGGAACCTCTGACCGAGCTAAACTTGGCAGTGTGTTTATCTCAATATTTTCTTCAAACCATATTTTCTTTAAACAGAGAAACAACTTTTGACCTGTTTTTGTTTTTTGTTGTTTGTTTTTTTTTTTGGGGGGGGGGGGGGGGTTTTTTTTTTTTTTTTTTTTTTTTTTTTGGGGGGGGGGGGGGTTGTTTGTTTGTTTGTTTTTACGTTCACCTGTGCTAGTTACTCAACAAATAACATGCAATGTTAACAAATCTGCAAAAAATTACTTGTGAAAACATGAGAGCATGCATTGTACTAGAGATGTCGTGTACTGGATTTTGTCTGACCTCTGTGTTAGTGCAAACTAAATGTGATGCATGGTGGTGGGAAGCAGAGGGACGGCATGGCTCTGTGGTTTGTAGGTGTAGATTTTTTTTAAGTGGAACAGTTGGTCTACAAGTCGACGTATTCGCCTACTCACAACTTCTGTTTCTTTGTCGTTTTTGTATCTTTGTCACGTCAATTGATCTTAAAAGTAGAAACAAGAGTTAGCTTTAATCACATATTACCCTACTGATGATATTGCAGACGTTTCCACCCCCATAACCTTGGTTTATATAGCATTTATGTGACCTGCAGGTCAACACAAAACTAAAAAAAAGTTTTTTTTTAATTGATTGATCATTTTGCCAGTTAACCTGTAAACACCTGCATGCGTTTGTGGACATGCACACTTGTACACTCATTTAGACGTATTGATAATGTCACCTATTAACTTACTTTGTGTTCATTTATCAACAGTATTGATGTCAAATGTGAATATTGTTAACTGAGACTGTGGAGAAACGTCTGGAAGCCGACAAAACATTTTGTCTGATTGTTTGTTTCACTTTTATTTATTTTATATTTTCTGAATTTTGTCTACCATGTAACAATTTTAACAAAAACCCAGTCTGGTTTTTATTCATAAAATGTGTCTGTGTTTTAAATTGTGGCTCACTGACTATTTGTTGGTTCCTTTGAGTGTGGAATAAAAAAAATAAACAAAGTGAAGTTCATAACAAAATATACGTTTTGGAAATGTCTGTTTGCAGCCAAATTTGAATTCTAGAGACAAAGCTTTAAGACCTACCACAATATTAAAACCATCTGACTAGCATTATCTAGGTCTTTGTGCCTTTAGAAACACTTTAATCAGTCTGGGTATGGACGTGGAACCACGATCAGTGGTCCCGTGGTGGTGAGTTTCCATCACACTCTAACAACAGTCCTTTGATATGTGGAGTCTGCATGTTGAAGCCTCTGGCTTAGATTTTCACTCATCACTGCCATATATAGCACAAAAGATGGATGAAGCCAATACAGAAGTGCCTTAAACCTGCATTCTATTTAATGACCAGCAGGGACCCTTATAGTTGCAGGAAAACTGCCCTCAGCTCCCTCTCTGTTACCTCAGTAAATACCCTTGTAATGATTTCCATGTGTTAGTCTCCAGTTTCAGGTCATATTGAGCTTCTCATTAGCAAATTATGGTCATCACAGGTGTGAAAAAGTAGGATTGTCCAGTCGAACAACTAGCCAATCAAGTTGTTAGTCAATGAGCTTGTGGTTTCACAGCCTTCCAAAAGCTCAAGATGTTTAGGATCAAAACCGTTACCTTAAGACTTCACAACAGGACTTCACTCACCTATGGGTGGTATCATTGTGGTGGCATCTGAGCCTAGGAGGTTTGGTTATCAAGCTCCATCCATAAACTATAAGTGGATATGATAACTGCTAATTCGTGCTGGACGTACTTCTTAGATGCTATGTACCACACAGGAAGTCATTATATATTTATGAAAAGCAGTGCCAATACTGTGGTGAGATTCAATTCAGTGACTCCATTTAGCACTGCTTTATCCCTTGCAATGAAAGCAGGTATTCCCCCTAACATTAAACCTTAACAACAAACAAACGGGTGTTCAAAGATCACCCACTTGAGAGCTGGTGTGAGTAGTTGTTTGGTGAGTGAAGCCACAACCTCAACTAGAAGTGTGAACACTTTTGGTCTGCAACAATGTTTAGGTGGGTAGCAAAGTTGGAATGCCAGAACTCAAGGTTGTATCAGCTCATTGCTACATTGTATAGCAAACCAGGGGCAGATCTAGATACATTTTCTAGGGTGGCATTGAAATCAGACGGGCTGGATTTTATGTACTGTATAGCCTATACGATGAAGATTCCTTCACAACCACCAAAAAAGCCCCAGCTCAAGCTGCAGCTCTTGCCTCTCCTGAATATGCTGAATTATTTTAGTGGTGTTATGAAGTCTGTCCTTTTTCAGAAAAAAGGAGGACGACATGTACTGATGAAGTACATTTCAAGACAGGACAACATGAAAAAAAAATCAGCAACATTCCAGAAAAACCAAAGTCTCCAGCATTTTGACGCAGCTAAACATCATCTATGGAACAGAAGGGATCAACATGGCAGCTGGAATGACCTCCAAACATAGCTGGACTGGCCATCGGTATGGAAAGGGGAGGCAAGAGGAGGAGAGACCGAGGCGGCCGCCGGTCATAGTGGCAGAGGAACTGAACTTCAGGCAAGAAGTTATGACCTGCAGGCCATCTGTGTCAGATATAAACCAAGTTTAGTTGTAGTTTGTTTTCGTTGTGCTGACTTTTTACAGTGGCTTAGAATAACTGGTACTGCGTACTAGCTAGCATGACGGAGCTGATATACTGCTGGGCGGGTGCTATGAAGTTACTGATAGTAAATTTTATTTTATGCTTAAGGTTAGTTTCTCAAAGTCCTCAAAATCTTAACAAATTGTGCCAATCCTTACATGTTGCACCAGCTGATTTATCATCAAAAGTGGAGAAGTCCGTGACAGAGGAGACAGAAGAGCAGGAGAGAGATGACTTTATGTCATCCATGAGGGATGCATTTGATATGTTTCACATATTATAGCCCAACAAGTTACTTATAGCAATTTAAATACGAGCAATCACTTTTTGGCACAACACCGGCTATTGCAGTTAATAATACAACAGCTTCTTGCCATTTTTTGTGTTTCTTTTTATGGCTGTGTAACTGAGTTCAATTGAAAGCCTGCATGCGCTAGTACCTCTTGCCACAAGTTCCCAGAATCCTTTGCGGTTTTACCCCTGAATGACGTCACATTTTTGGTGGGCCGATTTTTTGTCCATGAGCTGCATGACTGTGCTGAGGTGGGAAATGTGACTGAGACTCGGACTAGACACTAGGGGGGGGGCAATCTAACCTTGCAAGTCTAATAGATTATTTTAAAGCTTAGAATATTAGTAACAGAAACTG